TGTGTCAGTGTATTCCTGTGTGTGTGAGTGTATTCCTGTGTGTATGAGTGTATTCCTGTGTGAGTGTCAGTGTATTCCTGTGTGTGTGTCCGTGTATTCTTGTGTGTGTGTCAGTTTATTCCTGTGTGTGTATCAGTTTATTCCTGTGTGTGTGTGTCACTGTATTCCTGTGTCAGTTTATTCCTGTGTGTGTCTGTTTATTCCTTTGTGTGTGTGTGTGTATCTAATACTCAGATTTGCCACAAAGAGGTATAAATACTAGAGGAAAGAAGAGGCTTCATTATCCAGCCATGCCTCCCTAACAGACGGTGAGGCTCAATCTTTGCTGGCGTCCCGAGAAAGGAGTCCTCTCGGTGAAATAGAAGACTACCTGAGATGGGTGCCCGTGTGAGCAAGGTGTTAAGCTGAAAACTAAAAGTGCACATTCCTTCTGAGTCTTGAACCCTTGCACAAGTTTAAGAGCTGTTGGTGCACGTCAGCGGCAGCGAGCCCATGGCAGGCTGTCTCAGATACACACAAGACGAGATGCATCTCTTACAATGGGAGATGGCTGAAAAATAGTTTGAAAAACATAGCATTTGATATTTAGGGCTCTAATAGAGGCACCAGGAGGAGAATGCAAGCCCCCTCCTTGGGCTCTGACCCCACCCAGGAAGGAACATCCCAGGAGGGACCATTAGAAATGAAAGGAGTTTTAGAGACTTTTAAAACATTTTTGCCAGAGAGCATGTGTACTCACTGGGGACAGAGAGAAAGGGGAGGCCAAGGAAGAAAGCACTCCCCTGGGGAACGGTCACAGCGCAATCCCTCCCTCCCTCATTTCTCCTTCCCCTTGGGACTTTGGGCATGCACACACACATGCCCAGTGTGTTTTTCAAATCGCCAGGTCTAGGACTCAAACCCCACAGCTGGTCATGTGAGATCCAGCTTCCTTAACCACCACGCCATCAGCTGGCCCATCCTAGACATTTTTACTTAATAGAAGGTTTGCCTCTGCACATCTGGGGCCTCAGGGGTGTTGTCAGGACCACAGTGACTGGCAGAGCTCCTCGGGACACTAAGCTCCGTCTCTCTGTGGCTGTGCCCACAGCTCCGAGGCCACAGGGCCAGCACCCCCTTCTGCCTGTGCTGGTTACTCCACTCAAGGCTATTCCAAGGATCAACCAGGCAGCCTGGGCACAAGAGCTCAGCACAGGCCAGCCCTTCGTGCGCACTCACGCAACGGCAGCTCTTCTCATTTCTACAAGACTGTCAGACACCTGGCACACCCTCCTGTAACCAGGCCCCGCTGTGCATCTCCAAGACATCAAATGACTAAGTTCTCACTTTCGCGCTTCGATGTGCTCATCTACTGATTTCCTCCTTAAAACGAGTTCTGCTAACTCGGAAATACTCAGTAGAGCGTGAGATCGACACATCAGTCTCAGCGCCCTAGTCTGTAAGCCTCCACTGCTATGCCAAGGATGGCGGCTGAGGGGTACTAGGGTGATGACCAGCCGTGCTGCCAGGGGTGAAGGGTTTCGATCTCGGGCTCCCCACAGAAACAGTCGCTCTGGCTGTGTCACAACCACCATATGGCTCGTTTCCTCCTGAAAAGACGGTTTAGAATCCGAGCGCCCGGGCTACCCTTCCCTGCAAACCTGAGGACGCGGCTTCTGGTTCTGAACTTAGGAACTGAGCTGGAGAGGGTGCCTAGTCGAAGCCCCCATTCCACTCCGTCTTCCTAGAGCGTCCACGCGTGCTCCTCGAACGGAGGGAAAGATGAGGAGAATGACTTTTCTCACGTCGAAGGTAGAACAGAGACATGTGAGCTGGTGACCGCTGGCACTGCACGAGGCCTGCCTGCACAAGGGGCGGGGCGACAAAGTGCCTGGACAGTGGGAGGTCGGTAACCTCGCGCCTAGGTCCGAGGCAGGGGGCCCGCCTGTCCCTGCATGCTCCCCTGTCTGGCTACCGCCTGCTTAGATTTGCAACGTCTGAGAATTAACCAAAATTGTATCAGAAAAGTTTTAAGGCACAGGAGACCAGCAGATGGCATAATGGTTACATCGCTGGACTCTAAGGAAGCTGACCACAGTTCAAGTCCCAGACCTGGCAGCTTAAAACTCATGCTAGGTGCATGTGCGTGCATGCCCAAAACCCTGAGAGGAGACTGGAGAAGGTGTTACAGCATGGCCATCCTCCTCGGGGGCGATTTCTCACTTTCTGTCTCTCTGGAGTGCACACGCGCTCTTATAGCAAAAATATCTCAAAAAAAAAAAAAAAAAAAAAAAGTAAGGCACAGTCAGTCACGTCAGCAGCAGCTCATGGAATAGAGGGCAGTGACTCCCCAAACACAGATCGACTGGCCTTGGACGAAGCCGACTGCATCGAGCCCTTGGCAAAGGGGCAGCGCACGGCACGTAAGGGCAGTTCCTCGCTGCAGGGAGCTGCCCCTGCCTGGGTCCCTCCTGCGCCTGCGCCTGCGCCTGCGCCTCCGCCCTGCTGCGCTGCTGTGTCTGGTCCCAGTGCTGCGGGGGTCACGGCTGGCTGAAATTGCAATACACAAGGGCAGCGACAAGGGACGCCCTCTGAGAAGATTCTAGTAGCCGTATGTGCACAGTGGGCTTTGCTGCCAGCTGCTGAAGGCAGGGCCCTGTTCGTGAGACCCTTCGGCACAGTGAGCTTACTCAGGGCAGTGACAAGGGAAAGGGGGATCTCGTTTTCACTAAGTTTCTTGGTTGGTAAAGACAATAAGATGTATTTCACAGAATTCAGTAGTGAAGAACATTTATAAACTTCCTTGCTAAAATAAACTTTTCTCTGAAATAAAATCATACAGAAATTTTAATCACGTTTTTGAGAAAGAGATTCACGTAAGACTGATTAACCTCTTAATATCCTCCATGATAAAAACAGCCTTCAAAAAATGAACTCATACTGCAAAAAAACCCCAAAAAAATCAACACATAAATGCACAAACCAAAGTGGGAAGCACCCCCGAACTCTCGCTTAGGAAAACCGCCGTACTCTGGCAACCATCCTCCCCGGCATCCGTGAGCAGGCGACGTGCACACACACGACCTCTCGCACTCGCTGTCAGGCTCTCAGTGGGGCCGAGTGGGTCCTGGGAGCAGTTCTGCGCGAGGGCACGCGCACAGGGTCCCGATGCATGACTGAGGGCTGGCCTCCACGGAGCTGATGGAGCAGGGCCGGGACCGGGACTTACATTCTGAGTCATGCAGGCAGCTGCGTATGGAGCGGGGGATGGCCCAGGAACCCTGCGTCCTACTGGTGACCTTTCTGCCGCGCGAGCAAAGCGCCAGCATCGGAGCACAGTCGGGAGGTCATCAAACGGCGTGACGCTCTCCCGAGTGCCACGGGCGGCCACGCTGCCACGGGCGGCCACGCTGCCGCAGCTCACTGCGCAGTCCACACTGGTCCAATCCAGGCCGATGCTCAGTATGGGAGTGAGCGAGGGCGCTGCCCTCGCATCGGGTCGGCCCCCACGCTGCAGTGCATCACGCACGCAAGAAGCTGCACCGGCTTGCCAAGTGCTAACGGCTGCTCCCAGCTCAGCAGAGCTGGCCCGGGACGCGTAGGGAGCATCACCACGCGCCAGGCACTGCGCTGTCTCCGACCCTGAGCTGTAGCCCCCCGGCCCCCGTGCACGAGGACTGAGACACGCTGACACGTAAAGCCCGGTCTCACAGCTGCGACGTGGGGGCGTGGGGTCCGTCCAGGAATGTCCCACCCACAGTCGGGTGTCTGTCATGCGATGCTGAGGAAGCAGCAGCTAGCCGCGACCTCTGGGCCGGGCGGGGGCTGCAGACGGCCCTGCTGGGACATCCTCCTGGGTGCGGTGGCCAGGGCACCTTCAGTCAGCGGCTCAGCTAGGAGGGGACAGAACCAGGTGGCTGGAGGGGGTTTCCTCGCTGTCGTTCAGTCAGTCACAGGAGTGTGTGGTTGCTCTCAGGGCCAAGACGGAACTGAACGGGGACAATGCGGGGTCAGTGTGGCCGTGCCCCGACTGCTCCTCGCGGGTCTCTGTGATGGCGGTAAGAGGGCGGGCTAGCTGCAGCCTGCAGTGAGTGCCCGAGTCCTTCCACGCCTGTCCTGCAGCTGGCTGGGGAGGGCCCTCCTGGACAGTCTCCGGCCGTGGCAGGCATCTTGCCTGACTCTCCACCACCCACAGCTCTCGTGCCCGCCAACTGCTTCTGCTCCCACTCCTTGGCCTGGGCCTCTCAATGGCACCAAGCACGCGCTGAGCCCACGGGACAGGTTTCTTCCTCCTACCGAGGTGGACCCCGCCACTGTGACCCCCCGAGACATGGTGTGCCCCCACTTTCTCCACCCCGGACACAATCCTAAGCTCTGCAAACAGCAGGTCTTCCTGGTCAGCTCTCTCCTGCTGAGCCTGGCCACAGGCTGGGAGGGGTACCCAGCACGGCCCAAGATCTAGAGTGGTGAGAGGGGCTGCTACCCCAGATATGGGGCACTGTCTGTGTACCCGGGGTCCCTGGGCATCAGAGGTGGGCACTGACGTCGGTATACCCGGGGGCATCAGAGGTGGGCACTGATGGTGTACCTGGGGTCCCTGGGCATCAGAGGTGGGCACTGACGTCGGTGTACCCGGGGGCATCAGAGGTGGGCACTGTCTGTGTACCTGGGGTCCCTGGGCATCAGAGGTGGGCACTGACGTTGGTGTACCTGGGGGCATCAGAGGTGGGCACTGACGTCAGTGGACCTGGGGTCCCTGGCATTATTAGTAAGGGCTGTGAGTCTTATGAACCTATAGCCAGTGAAAACCTCTGGGTCTCTCTCAAGTGGGCTGTCCTTGTCAAAGCAGGGGAAGTCCCTCTCTGTGTTACCGAACGTACATGTTCATGGAACCAATTACTTCATGAGGACGATCCCACCAGGATCGGTGCGGGGCTGGTGTGGAGCCGAGTCTCAGCCCCGCGTGGAAACCACAGACTCGGGCCATCTGGCACATGCAATCCAAAAACAGTGCTACTTACTCGTTGGCATTCAAGCTAGCTGTGGCCCGGATGACCATGTAGCAGAGGGTGAGTGCACTGAGGAGGCCAAAACTGGCAATAATAAACCATTCTTCTGTTGACAAAGGAAAGGAGGAGGTCACTCAGGGGAAGTGTGGGTCAGGTCGATGTCAACATTCCCCTCAATGCACCGAGGCCGACGTCAGCGGAGCAGTGAGCGCCAGGAGGGCTCGAGGCTGCGGCAGAGCGACTGCTGGCGAGTTAGTGCAGGCTGGTGAGGGCACAGGCCGGGAGAGGAGCGAGGCCGCCGGCTCCTCCGGCTCGTCCCGAGGCCGTGAGTGTGTGCCCACCACGTGTACCGTGCATGTGTCTCCAGAACGGCACGTGGACACACTTTCGCTCATTGAAATGACAGTGAAGTAGACTAAGCTTACTTATAACCACCGCCCTCCTTTACTGCACTTGCCAGAGGTACCTGTGCTCATCAGAGACAGATGGGGGGAGAGAGACAGAGAGCGGGAGAGAGAAAGCACCCTCCCAAGGGAGTGGTCCCACCGTAATCCCTTCTCCAGTATGCGTCCAGCGTGTTTTGCAATCTGCCGGGGCTGGGCCTCAAGCTGCGATCAGCCATGTGGGCTCTGGCCCCCGTAAGCACCAGGAGCGCGGCCATCCCTCCTGTGTCTCCTCGCTGCTGCATGGGTGTACCGTTTATTCTCGGCGGCTCAGGAATACAGAGCAGTGATTCTCCCAGGAGTTCTGGAGTCTGTGAGGAGTCTGCACGCTGGCCTCCCCTGGCCCATGGAACTACACTCCCCTCCTCTCATGCACGGGCACCCTAGGGTGTTTACATAAGAGGATGCCTCAGTGGTGTCTCAGAAAAATAGGTCGCCCCTCTGTGACCCACTGCCAGGAAGCAGCACAGGCTGCTCTGGGTTGGACAAGGGCAGAGGCAGGAAGGGAAGGAGGCCGCGAGGCCCTCGGCCTTCCACGGGGCGGTATGCAGAGCAGCCTCGGGAAACCTGGCACCCGGACCTCCCATGGGCTTCCTGTGCTCTTCCTCTACACCCACCCGGGAAGTCAGCAAGTTTCCCTTAGCATTCAGAGCCTGTATCGAGGTAACGCTTGAAAAAGAATTTTCATTGAGAACCTCGGAGACAATCTGAGAGCCAGTCTAATGCCTTGGATGGTCCTAAAATAACACATTTCCTGGGGCAGCGCTAACTGCGGGCTGGTGTAACAGGTGTCACAGCGAAAGTCCCACGGACCTGTGACATGGAGCAAGAGAACCTCACATTAGGGATTCCCAGGCCTACGTGCAAGAGCTACAGGGGGCAGGGGTGTCTCTGTCCGGGGCCGGGGCCGCGACAACGACAGGGGAGATCGTGCGTGCGCAGTGCTCCCCAGGGAAGATCTCGAGGCCGCGGCCTGCCACACACTGGGAGCCGCGCCCAGGGCGTGTCCTTTGGGCATGTGGCCACGTCAGGGAACGCTCCCTCGGTCACGGTGCGGTTGCTGCCCTGATCGTGCTTCCTCACCCCTAGACTGAAACTTTTTCAGTGAAAAGGAACATTTAAGAACCCACATAAAACCTACGATTGTAAGTTAGGAAAAATGCATCCTGGCATTTTAAAAGTCCAGAGGTGAGAGGTCACCCCCGCCAGGGCCTTAGCAGCATTTCTTCCTTTCCTCCTGAGACTGCCTGGCAGGTGCGGAGTGGACCGGCTCCCAGAGCCTCAGCCCTGTCCACTGTCCTGAACGCACAGCTGCCAGTGCGGCCTGTGCGGGTGTGAGCACAGTGGTCAACACTGGCACAAGAGAAGCACCCACATGGCCAGGACGCCAGGCCAGAGGGGCACGCGCCGGCCTGCCCACCCCGGGCTCCGTGCACAGCTGCGGCCGCCGCGCCGCCGGGCTGGTGGGAAGCGTGCAGGAGCGGGGTGTCCAGCTGCCGAGTCTGCTCCCTGCCCTCGCGTGCAGCCTCCGCGATCGGTGAGTGACCTGTACGTGACGTGGTATTTCAGCACCGAAGTGTAAGGTTCGGAAAGTGCGCGTCGACGTGGAACTAACGGTCCGTGGCGGGTGAGTGCTCAGTAAGCACCTGGTCAGCGAGGGCTCTAGGCACGCCCGTGGACAGCCT